GGAGCATGAAGACCCAGAGGGCTGTGAGAGGGAGAGGCAGAGCCCGTGGAGGGCCAGCAGTGGGCTATGTCCAAAGAACTTAAATGTGCAAAAAGCTTAGAGTTTGGTCTATGGGGTCAAAGAATTAGGAGGAGCTTGAGAACTGAGGAAGGGCCACGGAATTTGGTTTTTAGGACAGCATCTTCAAGAGAGCAGTTTGCAGAGAGTGGTAGGAAGAGAAGCCGATCACAGAGTTAAATGAGGAAATGGGTGAAGAGGACAGCTGAGGCTTCCAGCAGAGATCAACCACTGGGAATTTCTCAGGGGAAAGGAGAAAGGATGACAGCCAAATGGGCCAGCAGAGGAAAGCAGGGCTTTGCATCTCACTCTTACGGCTGACAGTCTGTAGAGTGGTCTTCCTTTCTCCTGTTTCTCCTTGTACCCCTTGTGGGCAATCTCACCCATGGTCTCAACTTCCATTTCTCAGCTGAGGAAACCATCCCAGGCCTCCCTCTGCCCTCTGCACACCTGTGCCTATGTGTCCCCAGCACTCAGAAAGGGGACTAAGCCTTGGGACGGATCCAGGTATTCCCTGTCTCTCTTGGTGGCACCATCCACCCAACCATCCAGTCACCATCCAAGCCAGAAGCCAGAAACCATCTCACCCTCCTTCTCCCTCATCCCACATCCAGTCATTGGCAGACTCCTATAGAGTCGCTCTCCTTGGCAACCCGCCCTGCCCCTTCCTCTCCAGCCTACTTCCTTCTTATCTGGCCTCAAATAGGTCTCCTGGCCCTTCCCAGGCCTCCAGGTTAATGCCAGTCCTGTTCTGACAGCACTAGTATGCTCAGGACATCCCACCCCAGTGACAGAATGAAGCTTGAGCTCCTTCAACAGCCTTCCTCTGGGCTGTTTTTGCACCATGATTCTTCTCAGCCATGCTGATTGATGTGTTTCTTACACATGCTGGCCTGTGTGGACCTCCCTGTCTTTGCTTGGTGGAGGTTGCTTCCCTTTCCCTTCCCCCCATCTCTCCATTTCTGACTCCCACCACCTCCTCTGTCTGGCCAACACCTGGTCCTCTTTCCTGCAACCCAGTAGTCCCATCTTCAATGGGACACATTCACTGCATCTTTCCTTGTGTCCACATGCCCTCTTCACCCAAAGGCTTTCAGTAGTTTCCATATCTCTGTTCCACCAGCCTGTGGCCCCCATGGTTGGGGAGGGACCAGGTGGAGATGGGGGCATGGACTCCTGCACTACCACCTCCCAGGAGGCCACTGGTGGGCTCAGGGCAGACTCAGGGCATGCTATGTTGACAGGAAAGAAAATGAATTCAACGGAAGGCTAATATAATTCATTACACACAGCTTCTCCTGTTCTCCTTAACTTACTGTCTGCTCTTTCCCCCTTGTTCTTTTCTTTTATTCACTCTCTTCTCTTGGAACCCCTTGTCTGTCTTCTTCTCCCTGGCTGTTTCTTCCCTTTCCTGATGTAAGAACTTGCACCAGCCCTCAGGCAGAGTCTTCCTTCCTCCTCTGCCATGTCCCTTCCCCTTGGCCATGTCTTAAAGGCCTTGTTTGTATGTAGGTTCTGCTGAAAGCATCAGGTTTTCACCTGCAGACAAAGCCACTTGCTTTGGAGAATTAAGCCCAGAGGAGGAGGATATTGACAAATGAGGCCACAGGAGGAGGGAAATGTTTCCTGTCTTTAGATCTACAGTATCAGTGGGTTGTGATTCCAAGACAAGGTCCTTGGGTAGAAACTCTAGTTAAAATTCTCCTAAAAATAAGAGGAGATAATAACCATGTGAGTGTAGCATTTAAGTTCTTACCTCAAGAGGAAGTGTTTGTTTTTCTTTTTAAGATGCAAGGCATCCTGGCCCCAAAATATCCCTGAACATACATTTATACCCCTGCTGGAGGGAGGAGATGCACTCTTCCCCGCTTGATGGGAATACAAGGACCTTGGTAACCCTTAGTGCCTGCTCAGGTCTGCATATTGGTCCCCCAATGCCCATTGTCAGCCATAGAAGACTGGGGGCAAGGTGAACACAGGTCACCACACCCTCCTTCAGGTTATGCTGCAGTAACACCTACAGATGGCCCTGCTCCTCAGTGAGGATGGGGGTGGCCCATCATCCCATGTCCACTTAGGGAAAGGGGTGGGAGATCCCAGGCTATGCAAAGGAAACCAATATAAAATGGCAGAAAGGTAGCCCTGTGGCTAATTTTCTTCTCTAATGATTTTTAATAAGATGACTTTGATTTCAATGTGAATAGCTTAAAGCCTAAAGGAGACACTGGTTGATTGTTTTCAAACTGTTCACCTGGCACAGACACCAGCTTATGTATTTCTCTGGTATCATTGTCCCTGGAACTGTTGTTTATTGTAGTTGGCTGTGAAGAGAGAAATGAAAGCAAATAGAAGGTTCTTTGTGAGCAATCCTTCTGCTCTGCTTAAAAATAAATTAAGGATATTGGGATCTGCTCCCTGCTATAACAAAGAGGTAGAGGGACATGCAGAAATTCTGTTTTTACATTGAGATGAAGAACTGGGCAGAGCTCTAAAGATGATGTAATCCAACCTCATTTTGCAGCAGTGGGATGTGAGGTTCAGCGAGGCTAAGTGGTGAGCCTAAGATTATAGAGCTGAAGGCAAAGGAAGGAGCAGAGCCCAGTGAGCCCAGTGACCTTCCTACAGGTTTGCTGCCTTCAGAATGGCTCCTAGTTTAAGTCACTACCAGGTTAAGTAGGTGTTGAGGGCTGGTTCTATGTATCTCCCAGCAATATTCATAGCATACCAACCTGGACCGTCAGCTTACCCAGAATCTGATTTACTGTCAAGGAGGTACTGCAGCCGGAGGGAGAATGGCACCTGGGTGGGGTGGGACTGCTATTGGCAAACCCATTAGTGGTGCGGAGCAAGATAGTGTGGAAGGGGAAAATCCTGCAAGAGATGTCTGTTGCACAAGGGCTCCAAAAATAAACTGCCAGTCCTCTACAAAGCAGGCTGATAGCTTTAGATACTTGGTGAAAAAGGGACCCTACCTCTACATGCCTGCAAAGAATAAATACAACTCTTCCCACCAAATGCCCAAAAAGCCCAGGAGATCTGGACAGTTCTCAGGAAACCCGGTCCCCACGGTCGAATACCCTTGTTGTGTTTCCCACTCTATGTGCAGTAAGTGCCTTAAGGAAATGAAAATAACTTTTTGCTATTTAATCTGCAGGCTCCTCCAGGCTGGAGTCCTGAATGTGTCAGTGTTACTCCTCATTCCCAAGTCGAGACAGAGAATAAAGTGCAGCCATCAGCCATAACGTCTCAGCAGCGCCTCTGTCAATGCTTGCACAGTAGTGTGTTAATGACTGTTAACACCGACATCGCAAATACAGCATTCTCAATTTTTAAAATTACAGCTCTGTAATAAGTCATGCTGTTAAAACATACAAGAAATACCAGCTAAACCTTCAAGTAGATAACATACAGTCTGTACACATCACTGCCATCCCAAAGTGCATAACAAATCATTTTCTTTGAAATGAGGCAAGAATTAGCAGGTAGTTCAATTATTTGAGTACTAAGATAAGTAGAAGTAACAAATCCAAATATTAAATACCAATTACTAACTGAGGAGCTACAACTTAGTTTGGCATTACAACATGCCCCTCTTCAGTAGCAAACCCAGGAAATACGGGGATTTGGCAGAAAACACCAACCTATATAATCAATGGACATCTATGCAACAAAGACGATATCACTTCCCAGCCAGCACTTTCAAAATTCTCATCACATATGTTATGAGAAAAGCCTAGCCCATGTATTTGCCCCATGGGTGTCGAAAATAACAACCTTCAAATGTCAGGAGTGAAGCTGCTCTCAGGGCAGCAGCTGGAAATAAGTGACCTGAGGCTTCTACTGTGTCCCCCTAAAGGAGGTTTATGGGTCAGTCTGAAAGCCTGGTGGCCAAAGTTGCCTCCTCATACTTATATTCTTAACCCCAGAAACAAAGAAGAAAATTAACCTGGCCTCCCTGACTGGTTTCAGGGACTGGAAGAAACTGCTACATAAGATGTTACCTAGTAGCATCAGTCAGCCCAGTAGGGAGCACTTGTGCACTGCTGGTACTGTGGGGGAGAGGAAAGTTATTTCCCCCAGGTCAGTCTGAGTCTCCGTCCTTTGTGGAAATTAACTCAGGTGTTTAGACCAGCTGTTCTCTCTGCCTCTTACCTGAAACCACCACTTGTAGATCTCGATGCTATTAGGACATTCTCATTCTCAGAAGGGACTGAAGGTCCAGGATGGGCAAAGCAATATTTTATACAAGTATATATATGTACAAGGGATATTAAAAAGGCAGTCTCTAAAGCACTTTGGGATTCCCCCAATGAAAGGCACCAGATAAAAGCAAAGTCATTACCAAAATGGAAAGTCAAGTGTTCTAGCTTCCACATCTGCAAAGAGTAACTACTAGGGAGATCTCTTTATTAGCGGTAAAACCTGTCTGTTTAGAAAAATACTCATGAAAGTGACTGAACTCTTCTGCCTCCTTCCTTGTTTCTACTTTTCACAAGCTTTGTGATTGTGAATGTGACCGTGGATATCACACTAGGCAACCCGATACCATCAGCCTTGGCAAACTGAACAGCCCTCACTTGCCTTCAGTGCAGCTGGGGATGATTTTGTTAATTCTCTGGAGCCATCAGCCAAAGCCAAGTAGTTCATGTACAGATTCTGAAAAATAACCCTGCTCTTCTGACTTGGTGGCCAGATGCCCCTAAGTCATCTCACGTTTCCTAATGCTGCTGAGAAACAGATGTAAGTGGTAGACCATCAGGCACTAGGAGGTGGCTGCCTCCCTGCCCGCATGAGGCTCCAGCCTGATGGAAGGATCCCAACTGGGGACTCAAGGGAGTAAGTGACTAGTGCATTCATCCAAGAAATTGCCTGCTAGGTAGTGGCCATGGCAACTACAAGTACACAAAGCCTTTTGACAAGATCCTTGCCACCCCCATGCTGCTGAGAAACAGATGTAAGTGGTAGACCATCAGGCACTAGGAGGTGGCTGCCTCCCTGCCCGCATGAGGCTCCAGCCTGATGGAAGGATCCCAACTGGGGACTCAAGGGAGTAAGTGACTAGTGCATTCATCCAAGAAATTGCCTGCTAGGTAGTGGCCATGGCAACTACAAGTACACAAAGCCTTTTGACAAGATCCTTGCCACCCCCATGAGGTATGTATTATCTTCCAACAACTAAGACACAAAATGGACCTCTTTAGGGAAGGTCCAAGCCTTGCATAAAAAGCCTAACTCCATGCTTAGGCCCCTGGATTCTGTAGCCTTTCCAAAAACTGAACAATAATGGGAGCCAACAGGAAAGCCTTCTGATTACCTAGAAGGTAACAGAGAACTATTTTTATAAAGCATTCCAGGTTCCCCTTCACAATGTTACTGCACTAGTTAACTGAAGAGGAGGAGGAAGGGTGGTTTGGAAAAGGAAAGAGTTCTCAACCTTCAACACAAGTTTTAAAGTTTCAAGGTCTTTTAAAGAGCACTAAGCTTTTCAAGTTTGCTATTATTTATGACCCTTTATGAAGCAGCAATGTTTTGTTTTACAATTCTTTCCTTCCTTCTGGCCTCTACCCCCACTCTCCCAACAAAAGGCCATGAAAATGGAAACAGGAACTATAATATTTCCATCCTGGATAAGCCATACAGCCTTCATGCATGTCTGTATTTTGAGTACACACTTCCACACCAACAGGTTTCCATGTCATACAGGAACTCCAGGGCAATTAAAGTATCATATATAACAGTTTGTATCCTAAAAGCAAAATTATCTAACTAAATTCTGCTTGGAAGTAAAAGGGCTCTTATTTGATAAGCTTTCAGAGCAGGCGACAAAAGTTTCTAAGCTACTGCCCTTGCTAGCAATCCAACGTTTTCCGTGAGGACACAAGACAACAGTAAATGCCTTCTGAGAAAGACATACAACCTAATTTCTGAAGACCTTAAGAAATAAATATTGCAAAAACATGCTAATATCTAAGACACAGCAAAGTTTGGTCAAGTGGCGTAGACCAGGAACCTCGGCCAGAAATGAATTTCACCTAGGAAAGTCGGAGGCCTGAATTCAAAAGGTCTTTCAGCATCTTGTAATTTAGCCGATACTTAGCTGAAGCCCTGTCCCTAATGCATCTGTTCTTGGGAAAAATTTTTAATCTTCACTACATATTTAACTGAGTAACATTCTCTAAAGAACAACATTATGAGATGAACATCAGTGTACATGGTTCTAAAGGTGACTGGTGTACCCATGCAAGCCACAGAGCTATAGATCATTTATAAAAACAATCAGAGACTTGCACTGGTCATGTGTGCATAACTTCACATTCTCTTTGTTTTGGTATTAAAACTAAATGGAAGCAATGGATAAAGAACTAAGATTTTGTTTTCACATGACTGTGAGCAAAATCTTGTCATATCCTCGCTGACCCCGTGCATAACTTCACATTCTCTTTGTTTTGGTATTAAAACTAAATGGAAGCAATGGATAAAGAACTAAGATTTTGTTTTCACATGACTGAGCAAAATCTTGGCATATCCTCGCTGACCCCATAGATGTGTTTCCTCTGGACAGATTTGTGGGGGCTTTTTGTACAGAACTCACATGACAACCTCAGAAACAGGAGCACAAACAACTCACAGACAGTACTGGGCCGCAAGCACTAGAATACACAGTGAACAGGAAAATTAGCATTCTGGGGGGCTACTCATCTGGCAGAAAGGTGAACATTTTATGTCCACAATGCAAAGACCAATGAGTGTCATTTCAATGAAAGGTGCAAAGTTATGGTGTCGGACACACTGCCAAGACTTATTCTAAATACCATGAAACAACCTGGGGTGCATAGCCCATGCCTCTCTCCCCTTTGGGGCTGGGCATATTCCTTACACCTAAGGTGCCAGAGGAGCAAGAGGCAGCTCAATAGGGGGGGTTTGAGGATGACAGTCCTTCCCAGCTAATTCAGGGAATCATTTAAACTTAGTTCGCTTGGTGAGCTCCTACTCATGTTTGTCAGACTTGCCATGAGGGACTTAACTTTATGGGCATAGTAGTCCCTTAAATTAACGGAAGGGACCTCCTTCATTCCATCTCCAAAGTCACAGCTGCGCATGGCACTCTCAAGCTGCTTTTGGCGCCGATAAAAGTGGGAGAACTTATTGAAGATCAAGGTGATGGGCAGTACCACCACGAGAATACCTGCCAGGATGCAGGCAGAGGCGGTCAGCTTCCCTGCCGTGGTCCCTGGGACCACATCCCCATACCCCACAGTGGTCATACTGACAGTGGCCCACCACCAGCAGGCAGGGATGGTGGCCAGGCCCTCATTCTCCTCCTTTTCAATGGTGTAGGCCACTACAGAGAAGATGGAAATCCCCACAGACAGGTAGAGCAAGAGCAGCCCTACTTCTTTGTAGCTGTATTTCAGGGTAGCCCCCAGCGAGCGGAGGCCAGTGGAGTGTCTGGCCAACTTTAGGATGCGGAAAATCCGCATCAGCCTCAGGACCTGGGCCACCCTGCCCAAGTTGGCCAAGGTAGGTGTGCTCTCCACCACCAGGTTCACCACTAAGGTGATGTAGAAGGGGACGATGGACATGAGGTCGATAAGGTTTAGGGCATTCTTGAAAAACTTGAGGAAGTCGGGGGCCACAGCAAACCTGGCCACCAGTTCAAACGTGAACCAGGCGATGCCAAAGTGTTCCACTATTTCAAACCTGGGGTCCTCGCCAGGGTTGCCCTGGCTGTCGGGGATTTGAAAGTCTGGCAGACTGTTGAGGCACATGGTGATGATGGACCCCAGCACCACCAGAATGGACAGGATGCTGAAGACCCTGCTCAAGACAGAGTAGCCGGGATTGTCCAGCGCCAGCCACAGCTGCCTGCGGAAGTTGCCCAGGGGCTGCCCATCGAATTTGGAGGCGTCATTGTAGAAGGCCAGGATCTCATCGAAGGAGGACGTGGTGCTCTCCTGTTCGCTCTGCTCGTCCCACTTCTCCTGCTCAGGCTCCACTTTGCGGCCGTGGTAGCTGTAGCTGCAGCAGGAGTCAATGAAGAACTCGTTGATGCCCCAGTACTCGATCTCCTGGCTGAAGGAGAAGACGCACAGCTCCGCCATGACGTGAAGCTTGCCGGTGTGGTAGAAATGCAGCACGTAGGGAAAGAGCTCAGGGTTGCGGTCAAAGTAGAACTCTCTCTGGACATCGTCGTAGTCATCACAGAGCTCTAGAATGGCCTCGCGCGAGTGGCAGAGCAGCAGGCGGCCCAGGCGCGTCTCGGGGAAGCGCAGTAGCGTATGCGAGCGCAGCCGCCTCTTGAAGCCTCCGACGTTGATTCGGATCTCTCCATCCTCGACGTTGGTCTCGGACACGTCCCACAGGCTCTGGCCGGTCATGCTCGAGACGCCCAGCCGCCCGCGCCGCGCGGGGGCGCTATACCTGGAAGCCGAAGGAACCGCGTCCGGTGAGAGCGGGATGCTCAGGGCTCGGGCACCCCTCCCTCTCTCCCACCAGTCTCTGGAGGGCCCAGCCCTCTCCGGGGGGGGAGGGGGCTCTCTGGGTGCTGAAGGACACTGAGATGGGGGAGACGCTGTGGGGTTTGGTCCCCTCCCTGAGAAAGGCTGCAGGGGGTTGTTTCCACCAGCGTAGCAGCACCTCCACCCCCACCCCAGGGATCCTGTCGGTCGTTTTAAGCTTTCGGGGGTCGCGCCCTGGAGGCTCTCAGAGCCCTAGGAAGCTGACCTTGCCCGTGGGCGGGCGGAGGAGACGCCCCCGCCCGCTCGCCGCAGACAGAAGGGACCGGACCTGGAATGCTCACGGGCAGGGCTGGGCTGAGATGAGGAGCGCGTAGCTCCGGGAGGGGGGCGGGGAAATTCACCGCTCTGTTCCGTAAACCAGGGCTGGGGGAAGGGAGCTGGCCTGACGTCCCCGACGCCCAGCCCCTACTCCTGGAGTCCCCCCGCCTCCCAGCCCGCCTGGCGCCGTGCCCCCGAGCCGCGTGTGCCGCGCCTCACCCAGCGGAGCCGCCTGGGCTTGCCCTGCGCGTTCTGGAAGCTCTTACCTGCGAACACCGGAGCCCACGGCAGAGGCCGGCGGGAAACTTCCCAGACCTGCTTGTTAGCATCGTTGCGGCCGCCGCTGCTGGCTGGCTGTGCGTGTGCGCGCGGGTGTGTGTGTGAGCCTGTGTGTGCGCCCTGCGGGCCGGCGGGCGGGGTCCGCCAAGCGTCTTCTCCTGTCTCTGGCCGGAGGCGCCGCCGTTGCCCGCAGTTGCCAGAGGCTCACAGGTGGCTGCGTGGCCCCAGCCCTCGCAAAGCACCCCCTGCCTCGATCTGCGCGCCTCTCAGCCCCCAGGAGAGACAGCAGCCCGCGCCGCAGGCGCCCGCGGGAGGTGGAGCGGGAGCGGAGCCCGGGCGCCTGGGCGCGGGCCCTGCGCCGGGGTGCGGCGCGGTAGTGCTGAACGGACAGCTCCGCGCGCCCCAGCTCCCGGTACGGCCGCCGCCCCAGACTGGAGATGCAGCCTCCGCCTCGGCTTCTCTGCTCTCCCCGGCGCGCCCTGGCGACCCCTTTGCGTCTCCAGCTCCACTCAGGGCCGACACTTTTCCTAATCCCGCACCCATCCCCTGGTGGCAGCTATTATTGTCACCGTCCCTCCTCTCAGGGCCCAACTAGGGACTGCCTATGGCGACCTTTCCTTTTCAGAGGGAGCCAAACTGGGAAACAAGGGGCCATTTGCGCGCGTACGGGGGAAGGGCAGGACGCAAGGAACCCCGCGTTTCCCCCTTTTAGGGACCTGAAGAAAAGTTTCCTGAAGCTGGGGGAGTGGGATGTTGGGGAACGGCAGCAGGAGAGAAGAGGCGGCAGAGGAGCCTGAGGTTGAGCTTGGTTGGCTGCCGGAGGCGGCAGGGCAGGCCTGACCGGTGTGGGAGCGAGTCACAGAGCTCTGTTTGGGAACTCTGTGTGGGCACCTAGTGTGTACAGGCCGATGTGGTGTGAGGGCTTCAGAGGAGTGCAGGGAGCTAGCTGTGTGTGTGTAGTCTGAAGACAGTAGGACTTTTCAGTGTCTGCACGTGCCCTGTTGATAAGAGTGGGATGTCTGAGAGCTGAGGCAGTGTGTACAGTGTCAAGACAGAGCAATCTGGGGGCAGTGTGTGTACAGTGCACTATATACAAGGTAGTATTCAGTGGTACTATGACAGGATATGTGTATGTAATAAAATGACAACTGTGTGCATGAGGACAGGGCAACTGTGGGTGTGGATCCAGCATAGATGTTCTTAGTACCTATGTCTCCATTCTCCAGGACACTTGTGGCCCAGATCTGAGCTTTTGGTGTCCTAGAATTGTTCCTTGAGATGTTGCCTGTTGGGTCCAAGCCTAGAAATGGACCCACAGTCCCTGGGAGATCCCTCCCCTTGGTCTCTCAGCCCTTTTGCACGGTCCCCATTTGCAAAGACTGGAGCTTAGCAGAGAGCTAGTGGGCTACAAGTCTTGGTTAGAAGTCTGGAAAGCCCCTGAAGTGTGGCCCTGGTCTCACAGGGCAGCCATCACAGCTGCAGTGGGAAGTACAGCCTCTCTTTTCATGGCCCTGGCAATCCCAACCCAGCTAAACTGATGCTCTGCAGAGCTTGAGTGCTCTTGGCACCTTGGATCTTGGGGAGGACTGACTCTCAGTGTGGCTTCATGTGCATTCTCATGGCCCCAAGCCTGGCTTAGAGGAGACCCATCCCTGTACCAGCCACCTGCCTCTGGGTGTTTGTTGGGGGGCAGGGGGTGCAGGTGTGCTGTTGACTCACAGGGCCCATGCCCATGTCCCTGCAGGCCTCTGCAAGTGCAGCGGATTCCTGGAAGGAAGGCACATGTGGGAGGGGAGAAAAGGGTGGGGAGGGCCACATGAGCTTCCTTTCTCTTGTGTCTGACGCTTTCAGAGAGGTGTGTGTGTGTGTGTGTGTGTGTGTGTGAGAGAGAGAGAGAGAGAGAGAGAGAGAGAGAGAGAGAGAGAGAGAGATTGAGATTGAGATTCAGAGAGAGGGAGGGAGAGGGAGAGAGAGTGTTTATCTGTATCTGGTATTTGTTATTTGATGTCTTTGTCTCCATCTGTATTCTTTCAAGGTCTGTTTTCTGGAGTATGATCACCTTATCCCCTGTCAAGGTCTGCTGGGTTTGAAGTCCCTGACTCTCCCCACACCTGGCAAGGTGGCGGTCTAGAGGTCCCTGGGTGGCCGTTAGGGGTGCTGCTGATTGTGGGCCCGCCCTCGGAGCTGCGTGCACTTAAGGACATGGGCCAGGGCTGTACTGCTGCCTCTTTCACCCTTTCCAGCCCCTCCCACCCTCTGGGGTGATGCCTGTAACCCCTCCCTGCCAAGGTGCCCTCAGCAGCAGCACTGGAGGGCCAGGCTTCACGGGCCCTGTGGCTCTCTCTGACCCTTCCCCTCCATCCTCTCACTGTGCCCCCCTGGCTTCTGGCCACCCCAAAGCTCACAGCCCCGCTTCTGCTTCACCATCACATGTCTGTGTGGCTTCTGCTGCATGGCCACTGCTCCCATTCCCTTGGCCTCACTCCTGGCTCTTCCCCTGGTTTAACTCAGTGCATAAATCACCCTTTCCTGCTAAATTCGGAGGCACCCTCCCCCAAAACGCTTGGGTTTGATGACTGGGGTTTTCCTCCCTCCCCTGCCGTTATTTATCTTCCTGCCTCCTTCTGTTCCTGTCTGATTTTGTTATTGCTCATTCCTTCTTCCTTTGTGGTCGTGGGAGATGTTTTCCACGGACAAAGAGTTCCCCGCCTTCTCTTTTTCTTTGTTCCTCCCATGCCCATGGCCACCCCACATGCAGACCCCCAGGGCTCTGTCCAGGCCCCTGGGGCTCTCGCCCCTCCACCAGGAGGCACTCTCTGCCCTCTTTGGCTCTGCCTCCCTCCTTCCACTCCCCCTCCTCCCCTCCCCCTGTCCTCTCCCTTGTTCGCTCCCCAGCTGACACAGCTAAGTCACCATGTCACCATGGCCTTAGCCACTGGGGGCCCAGTGTCCCCTACCTGCCCTTTGTTTCTCTGGGTCAAGGACAAGCCCCCACACCCGCCTCTCCAAGAGTTCCCCGCCTTCTCTTTTTCTTTGTTCCTCCCATGCCCATGGCCACCCCACATGCAGACCCCCAGGGCTCTGTCCAGGCCCCTGGGGCTCTCGCCCCTCCACCAGGAGGCACTCTCTGCCCTCTTTGGCTCTGCCTCCCTCCTTCCACTCCCCCTCCTCCCCTCCCCCTGTCCTCTCCCTTGTTCGCTCCCCAGCTGACACAGCTAAGTCACCATGTCACCATGGCCTTAGCCACTGGGGGCCCAGTGTCCCCTACCTGCCCTTTGTTTCTCTGGGTCAAGGACAAGCCCCCACACCCGCCTCTCCTTGAACAGAAAGTGAACTTGGAGGCTGTAAGGAGGGGGCCGTAAGGAGGAGGCTGTAAGGAGAAGCCCGACTTTGGGGCACATCAGTTATTTCTTGGAAAGGCTGAGGCAGAAGCTCTATGGGTGTGACAGATGCCTTTGCACAGGGTTAAGTGTATGTGACAGGCAGAGCCACTTGTTTATTTCCCAGTCACTGTGCAGAAGAGAAATGCAACTGTCTCCTTCCTTCTGTAGCAGGGAACCTGGCTGTGTTTACAGTTTATTTAGAGGTCTGAGCCCTGATCTTAAAATACAACTGCCTGCTCCAGCCACACATCAAGGCCTGCCAGGGAGAGCCTGAGAAGTGGGGGGGAAGAGTACCCTGGGCAGGGGGACAAAGGGACCCCACAGAGTGGCCCAGATTCATGCACCTGGGCAACTATTATCTGTGCCTTCCCTGCCAACACCGATCTCTCAGTGGAGCCTACACATCTCAAAGTGGGTTTTTCCCCTCTGACAGGCGAGGGGGCTGCACTGGCGGCTTGGCTGAGGGAGTCAGGTTGCCTGACCTACATTCCCCACTGCCGAGATGCTGAGCCCTCACCCTCTCCCTTGGGTGTGAGCGCAGGGGTGCCTGCCACCCGGCGGGTGTGGACTGTCCATCTGCTCCCTACCAGCCACCCTCTCCATCACAGCCAGAGTATTTCTTAAACACATAAGCAAGGTCATGTCGTTCCCTCTGGAAAACCTTCCAGGGAATAGCTACCCAGCTGAGAATGAAAGCCACCTCCTTACCTCAGCTCCAAGACCCGCTGACACACCCTGCCCAGCTCGCAGACGTCATCCCCCTGGTCTCTTCTCGACCAGCCACCCTCCAGCCACGTGCACCCTCGCTGTGCCCACGGAGCCTTTGCACCTGCTGCCCTCTCCGCTTGTCAGGGCAGCTTCTCAGGGCAGAGGCTCCTCTCTTGTCACTCAGGTCTTAATTTAAACATCAACTCCTCAGAGAGGCCCAACTGCCCCATGTAAACTGGAGCCCTCCTTTTCTATCATTTCTTTCACAGTGATCATATTAAACAGTTACTGAGTACGTGGCTGAATGATGAATGAAGGAGGCCCAGCTCCTATCTGACCTTCTTCTGGGCAATCCAGAGCCTTGGCCCCGCCTCTCCTTCCTTCTGGTGGATCAAGATGGCAGCTGGAGGGGGAGCGTTGCTGTACCTGGGGCTGGGGCTCGGTGTTCCCCAGGCTCTGCCTGCTCTCCCAAGCAGTTAGGTAATGGAGGTCATCTCTGATTGTACACTGGAATCGCTTGGGGAGCTTTGAAAGAGTTGATGCCTCTCGATGCCTTAGGCCTCACCCCAGGCCAGATAAATCAAAATTTCTGGAATAGGGCATGGGGAATCAGTGTGAATCTTAAAGTGATCACAATGTGGAGCCAAGACTGAGAACCTGAACAGCATGTCTTTGGGGGCGCGGACACTGAGCTGTGCGTCTGAGTGCAGCCCAGCAGTGAGCCCCATGAGCAGGGACCGTCTTTTACTCAGCTCAGTAAACACCCACTGCAACCCCAGTTTTAGGGTCAGCACCTGCCCAGAGCGGGGTTCCAGAAAGGCTAGATGCCTCTGTTACTGTCTTCTCTCTGTCCCTGACTCCTTCAGGTCTTCCCAAGCTCTCTCAGAGCCATTTACCTTGGAGACAGGTTGTGATTAGGAATAATCACAGTGTCTTCCCCTCCTTGGAAGGGTTTGGCTCCTGAGCATTTATTATGTGGTTTGTGTGTTGGGACTGGGCACGCGGGAGCCCGCAGGCCTATATCGGGGGACGTGCCATGGGAGGGGCACAGAGAGGCTGCTGAGGGTGGAGGCAGAGCAGAAGAGAGGGAAGAACAGAGAGACCCTGAGCCGGGGAGTGGGGCTAGGCCTTGGGAAGGAGGATGTGGGGGAGACTGATGGGAGACACTGAGGGAAAAGTTGGGGGACAAAGGATTTTAAGAAGTTTTGCTACTTTGTGAATGCAGTTCCTCAGTGTTTTCTCAAGAGGCCACACTAAATATTTATATAGTTTTTGCACTGTTTCTGGTTGCTGGACTGAATTTATTGTGAGTCCTTGCCTAGGCCATTTGGCTTTATCCCTAGAGGCCACCGTCCTCTCCTCCTTCAGCCCTCCATCCCTGCATGTCCCTGAAGGCTGGCAAGGGATTGAGGTCATTTCTGAAGGGCTCCTCTCCGAGCCCCTTAATAAAAGGGGAC